CTTTCGAAGAAGGGTCTAGGCCCGAAACGTCAGCCTTCCTGCTCCTCTGATTCTGCTTGGCCTGCTGTGTTCATCCAGCTCTACACCTTGTTATCTCAGATTCTCCAGCATCTGCAGTTCCTACTGTCTACGAAAGGGACTTCCTGCTTATCAGAATCATCAGAAACTCAAAAGGCAAGACAAATTAGCTTTCAAAATGAACTGCATACGCTTGTATAGTGTTAGGACTCCAGCTGATGGTCATGCTGGACAAGTCAGTGTGAAACCTGGGTTGACAGACCACAAGTTATAGTTTTCCAATTTGGTTACCATGGCGGTCAGTCACTGAATACATTTCACAAGGGCCTGCCATGTACTTTTAACAAAAGGATGTTTACGACTGACTGGAAACAAGAAGGTATAAACAAGAAGAGATAATTTGGAAAGGTCCTTTCATAACAGTGAAGAGAAAGCGTTTACCCTTTTTAGCCTTCATAGACACAACCTTCACTTTAAAATTTCTTACTCAACTGAAAGATCAAAAGCGTTTCCTTTTGATGAATTTCTGCTCTTTCACCAAATGTGATTCTCTTTGTTACTTTTTCTCCCTGAGACACAAATGAATCCACTGATTTCTCCCTGAACCCAAGAGAAAACGCAGAGCTTTTTGCAGCTACTTTGGGATTACTTTTAGGCTGCAAAACAGCACATCTGCTGGTATGGATCTTTTTTTCTGATCTGAACCTACCTCTAGCTTTTCCATTTCTCTCTTTCATTCACCAAAGCTCAACCCACTAAAGACTTCAGCAATTATTGTACTGGATAGCTTGTCTAGTCATTTAGCTTAAGTTATATCATTTCTTGGAAGTACAGTCTTAACTCAGTTTCAAAAAGAGTTTCCAACATTTAAAAACAAAGATCACCTTCACAGAACTAAAAACCAATCTAGCTCTACTTTAGAACCCAAGTTCCCAGACAATTAAAATCTTCCACCAAAATAGCCAAAGAGAAAAAAAAAAGTACTTGCACTAGTAATTCCTTCATGTGTAGAGGGAGGATGTCCTGATTGCCCACTGTGACTTTGTTGCAAACATCATTTTTGTGTCTGTTCTAGGGTTTCCGCTGATTTGTTGCTGAAGTAAAGACAGCCAATCCTTTATCAAACTTAAGGCATTTGGGGGTAAGAAAAATACCATGTAGGAGAACAAGCTTTACATGTGTACTCAAAATAAGGGCACAAACCTTAAAACCTAACTCCTGAGCACAAGCATAAACTGCAGCAGTTTTCCCAACTCCAGGTGGTCCTGTAATTAGCACGGTATTGCACAAAAAATCCTCATCCTCGGAACTCTCCAAATTAAAGTCACTATTGTCCCAAACATCTGAGAACAGAGGAAGGAAGAACAAACAGATCAGAGATAAAAGCACACATGCTGGGTACGTTAAAACAAAACAAAACAAAATAAATAAAGCATCTGAAAACGAAAAATAGCAAGTAAATATTAAACTCTCAAATTAAAGCTGATGTTACACAAAATTAAAACACTGCTTAATTGAAAAGCACCTTTCAGTGCTAAGACATTTCATTTCTATAATGCTAGTACTTGAAGTAGCAGGGGGTAAGGAGGAACCACTGAATTTGACAGGGTAAACAACAAGAGATTCAATAAAACACCAGGGTGGACAATGATTCTCTAATACTGAATGCAAAGTTTGGTTCTAAAGTAGCATATGCGGACTTAAATTTGATTGTCTAAAAGTATTGACTGATATGATGATATGAGCCAGTTTAAATTAAATGAGGCTCCCATCTCCAGCTTTAGTGATAAAGAGTGCTGGTTCACACCTGAATATTCTGAGAAGCCATAATAAAATCAGGCTCCAACATTATATTGAACGACAAAGTTCAAGAATGTCACATACCCAATTTCTTGTCTTTTTCAGTCTTTTTCTCCTTCAGTTTTTTCTTTTCTTCTTTATCAGCTCTCTTCTTCCATTCCATTAACCAACTGTTTTATTTCCAAATTACAAAAATGTCTGTTACGTGCATAGGACTTGATTCTTATTTTATTCAGAACCCTCCCATGTCTCATGAATACCATATCTAAATTTTGCAATAAATTATATCACTTAAAAGTAGATGGGAATAGACATCTATCAAAAATATAATGGACTCAGTGGCGATGTCTCTGAGCATTAGACAGCTTGTTGATGCCCAGACACAAAGCATGGCATTGTGGTGAAGGTATCCAATGGCTGTCAGCTTCTGAGATACTGAACACCAATGCAAGTCTGTACCTTATGAAAAAAAGGGAAAAGATCAAGAAAATGTGCGCAGAAACACAAATGGAATTAGCTGATGTGTGATAATCCAGAGTAAGAATTCAAATCTCTTCAGTTTGAAACTCTACATGATTCAAAAGTGAAACCGTGAGACTTTTAAGGCAGCTTCCAGGAGACATAATAAACGTACAACTCCAGTTATTCTGTAGTGGGTGAAAGTTGACTATAAGTGTCGACCTTGAAGTTTTGTTTTGACAACTTGCTAACTAGTGTCAAGGTTTTTAGATAGACACAATGTATGCATCTGTATCTGAGGGAAAGGGTAGAAAAGGAGAATTTTCAGTCAAAAGTAGAAAAACTGTTCAGCTATAACTATATTGCAGACGTGATATATGGGAATGCATCATATAATCACTGAACAATAATCAGCATGTATTTTGATTTTCCACAACCAGAGAAAGTGTTTTTGATGTCCATCCTGGTGAAGTCAGTACTGCCAGCTGGCACAGAACCTATCTGATGGCATCAGCACTAATTTTCAGACCTCTACACTCAATGTGCCACCGAGCAGTTCAATCTGAGCCATTATTATTGGCGATTGAATTCATTCTCAGCTCACGATCATCATTCCTCAAATAAGTTTCTGAATCGCACCAATCTGATGGTCTATTCAGGTTGGTACTTTCTGAGACAGGCCTAGGGGTCTTCTAAAGAAACTAATTTTAGGCTGGTCTTATACAGGGGTTAATTTCAGATTGGTCAGTAAATACCTGCGTAATTTCCTGACAGCATTGAGATTTCCCACAAGTTCACTGGAGTGCTGCGGCTGGTATTGCTCTGTCCATAGCAGATCTTCCTTGACTGGGTCTAAAAAGGAAGTTCAATTAGAATTTCAAATAAAGGTTAAAAAAACCGCAGGACTGTTTAATGCAAGGATTAGAAACGCAGAGAGATATTACCAGTACGATAAAAAAAAGACAAAGATTGATCAGCATCTACATTCTTGACAAGTAAGCTTTTAGTCATCTAGGTCTAAGCTGAACAATTCTCTCCCTAAACCCCTCTACTTCTCTCTTCTTCTTTAATTTTTCTTATTATCAGGTGGGACATGAGCGCCACTGGTTGGCCAGCATTTATTGCCCATCCCTAGTTGCTGTTGAGAAAGTGGGGGTGAGCTGCCTTCCTGAACCGCGGCAGTCCACGTACTGCGCAATACCCCTGGAGGGGAATTCCAGGATTTTGACCCAGTGACAGTGATGGAATGGTAAAGTATTTCCAGGTCAGGATGGTGAGTGACTTGGAGGAGTACTTGCAGGTGGTGGTCTTCCCATGTATCTGCTGCCCTTGTCCTTCTAGATGGAAATGGTTGTGGGTTTGGAAGGTGCTGTCTAAGGGTTACGGGTGAATTTATGCAGCCCGTATTGTAAATTGTACACACTGCTTCTACTGAGCATTGGTGGTAGAGGACATGAATGTCTGTGGATGTGTTGCCAATCAAGTGAACTGCTTTGTTCTGTATGGTGTCAAGCTTTGAGTGTTGTCGGAGCTGCACACTCATCCATGGAAGTGGGGAGTATCCCATCACACTCTTGACTTGTGGGGAGTCAGGCGGTAAGTTACTTGCCACCATATTCCTTGCCTCTGACCTGCGCTTGTAGCCACTGTGGTTATGTGATGAGTCCAGTTGAGTTTCTGGTCAATGGTAATCCCAAGGATGTTGATTTGGTGGTGGTGGTGGGGTCGGGGTGTGGTTTTCAGTGATAGTAACATCATTGAATATCATATGTCGTGGGGTGATAGTTAGATTGTCTCTTCTTAGAGACAGTCCGTCATCGCCAGGTATTTGTCTGCCCAAGCCTGGATATTGTCCAGATCTTGTTACTTTTGAACATAGACTGCTTCAGTATCTGAGGAGTTGCAAATGATGCTGAACACTGTACAATCACCAGCAAAAATTCCCATTTGATGGAGGGAAAGTCATTCATGAAGCAGCTGAAGATGGTTGGGCCTAGGATACTACCCAGAGGAACACCTGCAGAGATGTCCTGGACCGGAGATGACTGACCTCCAAAACTATAACCAGCTCCCTGTTTGCCAAGTATGACTCCAAACAGCAGACAGTTTGCCCCCGATACTCATTGATTCCAGATTTGCCAGGGCTTTTTGATGCCAAACTTAGTCGAATGCAGCCTTGATGTCAAGGGCTGTCACTTTCACGGCACCTCTGGAATTCAGCTGTTTTGTCCATGTTTGAACTATGGCTGTAATGAGGTCAGGAGCTGAGTGGCCCTGGCACCTCTACCTTTTCGTCCAAGTGTTTGGTCTCCAGTTTTCGCTTGGCATTATTTTTTGTCTGTTTACGTTCCTGTGGAGTAAGTTGGGAAGTTTGTTTTGTTAGAGGCTCTATATAAATGCAAGTTAAGGGGAGGTAGCAGCACAGTGGTAATGACACTGGACTAGTAATCCAGAGACCCAAAATAATGCTCTGGGGACACATGTATGAACCTCAGCATGAATTCAACAAAAGCCTAATAGCCACCATGTAGTAATTGCCATAAAAACACAATCTGGTTTTAATACCTTTTAAGGAAGGAAATCTGTCATCCTTCCCAATCTGGCCTGCAGGTAACTCCAGATCCAGAGCAATGTGGGTGATTTAACTGCTCTCTAAAATGGCCTAGCAAGTCAAGGGCAATTAGGGATGGGCAACAAATACTGGCCCAAGCAGTAATGCCCACATCCCATGAACAAATGAAATAAGGTTGTTGCTGCATTTTAACACATGTTGAGTATAGGTCCCTCACACACATCAAATTCACAATTCTATTGAAGGGTCTGAATGGAAAGAACAACTAGAAAGCCAAATCGACCCCTTCACTTTCTCACATCTTGCAGCACCCAGGTGAAGGGCAGAAATGACAAAAGCCTCGGAACAAGCTCTCTGCTTCTCACGTCAGGAAGTCCAAAATAAATTGGGATAAGGCTGCCCTTTTCTCTCTTCACACGGGTACAGCATCCATGGCTGTTCATTGAGTAATATTACAGGTTACTGGGTGAATTATTATGTCAATGTTTAGCTCCACCCTCTCCAGAATTCAGCTTTAAAGATTTTAAGTATAGAAATTAGCTCAGTTGCCAGCAGTTTTTATTGTGTTTTTTTTTTGTTCTGTTTCAGTTATCAAAGGTTTGGAGCTATGGTATAAATGCAGCCGATGAACATATCAGGCAAGATCTGTGTGAATGACAAGGGAAGCCTCGGGGGCTGAAGAGTCTCACTCCTGTTCCTATGTACTTGCAAAACACATGGATTTCACTAAAAACCTAAGGGCTACTTAGAAATAAAAATTAAATTACCATCAGAAGTAGCAGTTTCCCCCATCTTTGGTTGGTCAGTTAGTTCAGGAACTCGTGATACAGCGGTCATATTCTGTATTTCTGCTGCTCCAGTTTTACATTTCAACTCTTGGTGCTTTTGCTTAACCGCTCGCCTGAGGCTAGTTTTGGAAACAGACACATCATTCAGAGTTTGGGCACCCTTGCTGTTTCTCTTCGTGGATTTCTCACATAGTGCAGACATTGCTGGAGTGCATTCATCCCCAGGGAAAATAACTGAGCTCAGGTCACCGTCAAGTGTTTTCCTCCTCTTTTGTTTCTGTTGTTGTCTTTCTTTCTTTCTCTTCCTTTTGCTGAAAGATTGTTGTGAACTGCTGCACAGAGGTAACATTTGTTGAGGCTCAGTATCTATCTCTATCACAGAAATGTCCAATTTATTTGAGGGTCCTATGAGTTAAAAGAAAAATATGTGCAAAGTTGCAAAGCAGCATAAATAACATCATGCATGCAACATAAAGCTGCAAACCCAGACCTTCTCACAGACACAAAATGCAGATTCCCTCAGGCACATTGCCGTGAGAAAATGCAGAATGGACGAACGTCAAGATCTCTCTAATTCATGTGATGCCCTGAAAGCAAACTGACTGAAAAGCTTGTGTAACAGGTTACAAACAGGTCACTAAGGTAATTAATGAGTCAACCGATTGGTATTTTGTGCATTGCCGCTTTTCCTGAATTCATTTGCACTACTTAAAATAACCTGCAAGAAACATCTGTTACAGTAAGCACAATAATAGTTTGCAAACCAGTGTAAACACATGGGTTATTCTTAATATTCCCTGTTGAGCTGATTTATGGTAAAAGGTGCACAATCCAAGAAAGGTGCAGTACACATGATGAAAATGTTATTGCAGCGATAACTGTTAAAAGTTCTTGGCTCTCATTTGTTCAGAAAAATATAGAAAAGAAAGAAAGAAGGATGGCAGAATTGGTTAAGGAGAGCATTGCAATGCTGGAGAAAGAGGATGTCTTACAGGTTACAAGGACAGAATCAATTTGGCTGGAGCTAAGGAATAGAAGTGGTGTAATTACATTGCTCTAGTCTATTGTAATCTACAGACCACCAACTAGTTGAAAGGATGTAGAAAAACAAATTTGCAGAGAAAATTACAGAGATGACAACATTTTGGAATAGTTATTATAGGGCATTTTAATCATCCAAACGTGGACTGGGTTACTGGTATGTAAAGGTCCTGGTGTTCTTGGATTGTGTTCAGAAGAACTTCCAACAGCAAGATGTGTCCAATTCAACGAGAAAGGATACATTTTTGGATTTGATTCTTGGAAATAAGGTGGGCCAAGTGGATATGTTGTCAGTGAGGAACATTAGGAGATAGTAAGCATTATATTGTTACGATTAGCATGGTGGTTGAAAATATCAGTGGTCTCTCCAGAGTAAGAAAAATCAATTGCTGGAGAGTCAACTTCAGTGAACTCAGAACAGATCTGGGCTAGATTGACTGCAGCAAAAGGTTGACAAGAATAATTGTAAATGAGCAATGGGTTACTTCAAAAAGAAAAGATAACTCAGCTATAGTCAAGGTATATTCCCCCAAAAGGGAAGATGTATGACACACAAATCCAGAGTTCCCAGGATGATAAAGAAAATAGAAATTAAGATAAAGAATTCACAAAAAGCTTATGGCAGGTGTTAGGTAGAAAATAGAATGGGGAGTCAAAAGAATACAGAAGATTCAGAGGGAAGGTGAAAAACATATTAGAGAAACAAAGAGAAATTATGAGAAAAGACTAGGAGCCAACATAAAAGGGAATTTCACTATCTTCTACAGGTATATAAACAGTAAAAAGAGCGGTAAAGGAAGAAGTAGGGATTAGGAACAACAAAGGAGATTTACACTTAAAGGCAGGGGTATGGCCGAGGGATTAAATTAATACTGTGCATCTAACTTTAGCATCTAACTTGGTGATGGAGGAAAAAACTCTGAGCCTAGAAGGTTTGAAAATTGATATGGAAGATACGTTGGATAGACAATTGGTCCTTAAATTTGACAAAGCATCAGATTGAACATCATACCCCTGTTCAAAAAAGTTTGCAAGGATACGCTCAGCAATTACAGACTGGTCAATTTAAGATGAGTTGAGGGGAAGCTTATAGAAACAAATATATGGGTTAGAATTAGGATTGTAAGAGATCACATCTTTTTACTTTTTTGGACTATGGACTAAAAATGAAAAAAAAGAACACTGCTTTAAAAGGAGAGAATATAAGGATTTGTTTGCCACTTTGGGATAAACAAGTGAAGTTAACTAGTGCACATAAGACACTGTTACTCTTTTGGGGCCAGTGTGCCCAAACAAGCTGCCTGTGTGGGTGGGTGTGTGCGTGAGCGAGCATGCATGTGTGTCTCTGTTCAGACATTTCTACCAAAAGAAAGGCTTTTGACTGGATTTTCAACTGACATCAGTTGTTGAGAGTTCAAGACAATATAGCATAGCAACAAGCCTTTGATTCGTCAGGCTGCATTTATCATTGCATTGCCTGGAAATATGGTGGAGGCGGGTTCAATTGAAGCATTCAAGAGGGCACTGGATGATTATTTAAATAGAAACAACTTTGAATAATATGGGGGAAAAGGAAGCAGAATGGCACCAAGTCATGATGTTCACATGGACATCTGGTGTGGGTAAGATGAGCCAAATAGTTTCCTTCAATAAGTAACACTTCTGTGATTCTGTAAACTTAAATGGAAATGACTATTACGAGGGGGCATTATTTTAAAGGTGATTGGAGGAAGGTATCGGGGAGATGTCAAAGGTAGGTTCTTCACATAGAGAGTGGTGGACATGTAGAATGAGCTGCCGGCAGTGGTAGTGGAGTCAGATACTTTAGAGACTTTTAAGTGACTCTTGGATAGGCACATAGAGGATAGTAAAATGTAGGGAATGCAGGGTAGACTGATCTTAGTAGGATTATTGGTCGGCACAACATCATGGTCCGAAGTGCCTGTACTGTGCTGTACTGTTCTATGTTTTATCTGCTGCCTTACAACCCCAGTTTCAGTTCAATTTTTCTGCTAAACGAGGTTTATCATTTGATAGCATATGGAGTGAGCCAAAAAAAAAACTTCGTAGTAAGATGCCTCTGTTCAACCCAAATCATGTCTGATGTTTGAAAGACACATTTCATTCTATACAGTATAGTGGGTTTATTTAGCAGACTAATTGATGATTTTGAACCTAAGAATACTGAATGTTAAAATCCTGAAAACATGCAACATCATTCTACCTTGTAATTTAAACATAGCTGACGGCAAAAGATCTGATATCGCTGACCTGCAGTTGTTGACTCGCTCACCGAGCTGGCTTGTTTTCATTCAGACTTTTTAAACTGGGACAACATAACCGTAGTAGGCCAAGCCAAACATAGACACGCATGGGAATTCCTAGAGGCATGGTTATCAACCCATAATGCAATCAACAAACACGTAGAATTGGACCCTATATACAAAATCATACAGAACAAAACCGGAAATGACTGTACTCACCATAATCGACCGGACGGTATAAATTACAAGCGGAGTAGAACAACATCGCTTCATCGCAAGCCTCATTGTTGATGTTACCTAGCATGGTGATGAAACGTCTGAACGAAAACAAGCCAGCTCAGCGAGCAAGTCAACAACCTCACCCACAACCCGAGCTACAAGTCTTTGCAAAAACCTTAATCACTGACCTGCTTTGACAGTCTGTGCAAGATGTTCATTTCGTTTTTGCAGTAATGGTTTAAAAAGTTTTCGTACAGGAAACTCTGGATTGGATGACCTAATCTCTTCAAGTAAGCACTTCTGGATGTCCTGGGAGAATTCTGTCCTCGAGGTAGATAGCTGAAGAGTAGAAGTAGAAACTTTAAAACCATGCAATTTCTCATTATGAAAGACAAAATTTTCGAAAGGCGATAATCCCCCACAAGCTCTTCTATGACAGCAACCAAATTGTGCACAGTAAGCTTCCACAAAACAGCAATGAAATAAATGACCAGAACAATCTGTTTTGTGTTGTTTGTTGAAGGATAAATATTTTCTAGGACCTCAAAATAATTCCCATCCTCTTCTGCGAAAAGCACAGAGGGATATTTCAAGCACAAATGGGATCTTGGTTCGATATTTCAGTAAGAAGTCTTGATCCACACCCTTCTGATTCAGAGGTGAGTGTTACACAGAGCCAAAGCTGACAGAAAGACAAGTAACCTACACCCAGGTCTCTGCTACCAGTATTCTGAACTCATGTGCTCTGTTGGCTCATCCTCCATCCCTGTGGAAGAGGCCTTGGCCTCCAACGTGACACAGGAGACACTGCAAGCACAATCTCAACTGAACTGGATCATAATTAAATATAAATTCAACAAGTCAAAGTTTGAAAAGCACCACAAGACAAACTAACCCCAGTCCAAGATGCAGCAGTGTTGAATGTGTACTTCATTTCAGAGAAATCTCCAAGCGTAATGGCGTCTTTCAGAATTCTTTCTATTCCTTCGTTCATATCCCGGAGGTGGCTGAGAATAGCAGACTTGGGCCAAGCTAGATCCCATAACAATGAAACTAGACAACAAAAACAAAACTATGCTCATTTATTGTAATAAGCCAGAATTATTTTATGAAATTGTGACATGATCTCACAATTTGCAAGTTACTATATTCCAGAGCATTGTATTGGAAGAATGCCCAAAAGTACTCAAGGTAGATTTTACCATGGACATGATATAGTATGATTGCGACTTTCCATTTGAACAGTCTACTTACCTCCTCTTCAACTAAACATACTGAGCTGAGTAAGTGCATGACTTGAAAACTGCTACACAAGTGTAGCAGTTTTAATTCTTTGAAGAGGTGACCAAACACATGGATGAACGTAGAGCAGTGGATGTGGTATACATGGATTTAAGTAAGGCATTTGATAAGGTTCCCCATGGTAGGCTCACGCAGAAGATAAGGAGGCATGGGATAGGGGGAAATGTGGCAAATTGGATTCAGAATTGGCTGACCCTTAGAAGACAAAGGGTGGTAGTGGACAGAAAATATTCAACATGGTGCTCAGTTATGAGTGGTGTACCACAAGGATCTGTTCTCGGTCCTCTTCTATTTGTGATTTTTGTAAATGATTTGGCTGAAGGGGTGGAAGGGTGGATTAGTAAGTTCGTGGACGATATGAAGGTGGGTCGAGTTGTGGACAGTGTGGAGGGCTGTTCTAGGCTACAAAGGGACATTGATAGGATGCAGAGCTGGGCTGAGAAGTTGCAGATGGAGTTTAACCCTGAAAAGTGTGAGGTGATTCATTTTGGTAGGACAAACTTGAAAGCAGAATACAGGGTTAACGGAAAGATTCTTGGCAGTCTGGAGGAGCAGAGGGATCTTAGGGTTCATGTCCACAGTTCCCTGAAAGTTGCCACCCAGGTGGATAGAGCTGTTAAGAAGGCGTATGGTATGTTAGCTTTCATTAATAGAGGGATTGAGTTCAAGAGCCATGAAGTTATGCTCCAGCTATACAAAACCCTGGTTTGGTCACATCTGGAGTATTGTGTCCAGTTCTGGTCGCCTCATTACAGGAAAGATGTGGAAGTGTTGGAAAAGATGCAGAGGAGATTTACCAGGATGTTGCCTGGAATGGAGGGAAGGTCTTACGAGGAAAGGTTGAGAGAGCTAGGGCTTTTTTCTTTAGAACAACGAAGGATGAGAGGTGACTTGATAGAGGTGTACAAAATGATCAGAGGTATAGATGGAGTGGACAGCCAGAGACTTTTTCCTAGGGTGGAGGTAGCTATTACGAGGGGGCATAGTTTTAAAGTGAGTGGAGGTAGATATAGGGGAGACGTCAGAGGTAGGTTCTTTACTCAGAGTGGTTGGGGCGTGGAATGCATTACCAGAGAGGGTAGTGGAGTCGGCCTCGTTAGGGGCATTTAAGCGGCTATTAGATAGGCATATGGATGATAGTATAAGGTAGGGGTGGAGGTTAGATAGACCTTAGGATTAGGGTAAAAGTTCTGCACAACATCGTGGGCCGAAGGGCCTGTACTGTTCTATGTTCTAAGTGCATTTACAATTGCACAACTGGATAGTTTTCAGTATATGTAGAAATGATGTGGAAGGAGATCAGATCTTGAAAGCTGTCATTACAAGTTGAAGGAAGTTATCACCTTTCAGGATATCTTGGCAATTCTTCCAATGTAAGAATTTATTTTTAAAATACATTACTAAGGAATGGACTCTGTCACACAACAGCTCAATACTGGGATGAGAATTGATAGCAAACTGAAGCGTTTAGCTAAATAACTTCATGTAAGGGCAACAAGTCAGCTATTCAAATAAATCATCCTTTTGTGGTTTGCATGAAGTTTTCTTCCCCCCCCCCCCAAATAATAGCATCATGGCAAATTGGAATGGCAGGTATATTGATCAACACAGCCATGAAAAATTCAAGAGCTGACTCAACTTTAGGGCCATTTTGAAACTGTAAAATCGAAATGGCAGAAATATTTTGTTGAAGGAAAAACTGAGAAAGTGTTTACAAATACGTAAGATTGATGGGCAGGAAAATACTAGTTGGTCCATCAATTTGTCTTTCACATTATGATAGATAGGCTGTTTAATTATGCAAAGGTTAGAGTGCTGGAGATGTATCTAAAGATGCTTTTGCTTCAGTTAGGTAAGAAAATGAGGATATTAATGTAGAAAGAAGCCATTTACCTCTCATTTCGTTACACTGCTATTCATGGTTGATCTTATCTTAAGTATTAAGCTTATTTTGTCTCTACATCCTTTTGATAGCCTTAACTAGCAAAAATCCATAGTAATACTACAGCATTTTTAGTCAGCTTTGTCACACAAATACGAATTCTGGTCATTAGCCTGAGCAATGGATCATCGTTAATTATTTGTACATTTCACCTTAGTGTGGAATAAAACATCCTGGAACCCAGTCCATTATTGTTAACTTAACCACCTTCTGAAAGTTTGAAAAGTTATACATGATACACATGACAATCAGATCCAGCTCACCAGGGAATGAAATTGTTAAATCTGAATTATGCTCATGTATTTATAAAACAACTGAAAACAGTCACAGGAGTGTAATGAGACAAAACCAGAGTTAGAAATGATATCTGGTCAGGGCTTAAGAACTTGGCTATAAAGGTGGGATTTAAGCAGGGAGTTAGGGGAGGGGTGGGGGGTGTTCAGAGATGTTTAGAGAGAGAACTCCAGTCTGTGGGGCAAAAGCAAAATGTTGGAAATCTGTACTAAATGCTGAAAATACTCAGCATGTCAGGTAGCATCTTTGAAGAAAAACAGGATTAACATTTCATGGCTGGGACCTTTCTTCAAACCCATTTTAGTTTTTTATTCCAGACTGTGGGCCTAGAAGAATTGAAGCACAGCCAACCAGTGATGGAGTGAAGACAGGGAGGCAGGCAAACACCAGAGGTCAAAGATGGAAGAACAAGCTCTAGAGAATTATAAGGGGTTAAAGAGATAGCAAGGGGTGAAGTCACAAAATAAACAAACAGTAAAAATCTTAAATTGGTCAATGGCTTTCCCTCAAAGGATCGTCTGGCTTTGAGGGGTGGAGAGCGCTGGCTGATGGTGTCAGGGTTGGAGATTGGTTAATGCTACATGCAGGCTACAGCATATGGGGAAGATTCGTCTTTGATTGGAAGCTGCTCTTTTTCTGTCCCTTCTCATATGTTTGTAAATTTACACTGGTTGAAAGGTATTTGCATCTTAAAAACATAATCAAAATATAAAATGCAAATTAAGAAATACCATTCCCCAAATTTGCTTTGTAAACACACTGCCAGACAACTCTACTCCAAATTTAAAAATCTCACCTTGACTTTTTTGCTGAACATGAATAACAGTTTGGAAAGCAGTGCTTGCAGCAGAGCAGACCTCTACCACTGCTGCTGTCTTTGCTATGTGTTTTTTCAACGTATCTGGTAATCCACTCATCAGAAACTGACGCTTAGCTCTAAGTTGTTCAGTCTCCTGAGAGTTTTCGGAGCCATTACAACTTCGTAAAACAAACAAAAAGTTGTATTAGATTTCTTGATGACATAAACCACACTCTTTACAGCTAAAGATTTTCTTTTTATTGCTCTCTCTCACCATTTCAGCAAGAATTGGTTATATATAGAGGCAGCCACTGAACAGGAGTAAAATATGGTGTCTTTGACATGTTGGTGAACAGTTTCTGAGGTAGGAAAAGATATTACAATGGTTGTTGGTATTTATATAATAATTAGTAATTAGGAAAGAAATGACACTAACAGGAATAGGTAGTCATCCAACACATTGAATATGCTGCATAATTCAAATAGATAATGTCTTAACTTTAATCTATCTTCAATGCTGTGAAATTCATCCCTGAAGAGGACTGATAGACAGAGGGATCTGGGTGTACAGGTACATAGGTCACTGAAAGTGGCAACGCAGGTGGAAAAGGTAGTCAACAAGGCATTTGGCATGCTTGCCTTCATTGGCCAGGGCACTGAGTTTAAAAATTGGCAGGTAATGTTGCAGCTTTATAGAACGTGAGTTAGGCCACATTTGGAATAGTGTTCAATTCTGGTCGCCACACTACCAGAAGGATGTGGCGGCTTTGGAGAGGGTACAGAAAAGATTTACCAGGATGTTGCCTGGTACGGAGGGCATCAGCTATGAGGAGAGGTTGGAGAAACTTGGGTTGTTCTCACTGAAATGACGGAGGTTGAGGGGAGACCTGATAGAGGTCTGTAAGATTGTGAAGGGCATGGACAGACTGGACAGTCAGCAGCTTTTTCCCAGGGTGGAAAAGTCAGTTACCAGGGGCCATGGGTTTAAGGTGCGAGCAGCAAGATTTAAAGGTGATGTATGAGGCATGTTTTTTTACACAGAGGGTGGCGGGTGCCTGGAACTCGCTGCTGGGGGAGATATTGGAAGCAGATACTATAGTGACTTTTAAAGGGCATCTTGATAAATACATGAATAGGATGGGATTAGTGGGATACAGTCCCCAGAAGGGTAGGGGGTTTTAGTTGTGTCGGTGCAGGCTTGGAGGGCCAAAGGGCCTGGTCCTGTCCTGTAATTTTCTTTGTTCTTTGAAATCCCCAACACTCTTGCCTAACAAAATTTTCACTGTTTAAATTTTTAAATTGACTCCTAGCCTCAGTACTTTTTAGGCAGAAAGTGAATAGTAGTAATGTCATTGGCCTGGTAACCCCTGGGTGCAGACTAATGAAAACAACAAATGCTGGAGACCGCAGCAGGTCAAACAGCATCCATGGAGAGAGAGCAAGCTAACATTTCGAGTCTAGCTGACTCTTCTTCAGATCTGAAGTGAAGTGTGGAGGGGACAGCATTTATGGTACAGTTGGAGGGGTGTGTGGGGTTGGTGGGGTACGAAGTGCAGGGGAGAAATCAACACATCTTTTCTTCCCAGCACGCTATACCTCACCCCAACCCACTTCTCCAACTATAGCATAAATGCTGCCCCCTGCACTTTTCACTTCAGCTCTGATGAAGAGTCATCTAGATTTGAAATATTAGCTTGCTCTTTCTCCATGGATGCTGTCTGACCTGCTGCGATCTCCAGCATTTGTTGTTTTCAGTACAGATTCCAGCATCTGTAGCAATTTGCTCCTACATGGCGCAGACTAATGGTCTGGGAACATGGGCTCAAATCATACCATGGCAGCTGGTGGGATTTAAATTCCATTAACTAAAAAAAAACTGATATTATAAAGACAGAATGATAACCAAAATATAATCAAAGTTGAGGTACTTAGTTATTTGGAGACTGGAGAAAAAGGGAAGTGGGCGAACACCTGAAAAGCAGCTGAGAATTGTTACCTATGGGTAATTCACAATAGTGTCTGTGCTAGCTCACTTATTTTCATTCCCTGCCTTCTCCACGTAAACCAGCACATTTATCACTTTCCAAATTACCTCCAACTCCCTTGGAATGCTTTGATTGAATCTGCTGCCAAACTTTCTGACTGTACATTACAAAACTAACCACCACTTGTAAGAAAAAGTTTTTCCTCAAATCACTTCTGCTTCTTTCACTGGTTACTTCAAATCTGTGCTCTTTTATTCGCAATCCTTTCACGCGTATGAGCATTTTCTCCAAATTTACACAGCCCACAACTCCAAGGAGATTTTTAAAATTCATTCACAGAATGAGGACGTCCCTGGATGGGCTAGCATTTATTGCTCATCCCTAATTGCCTAGAGGGCAGTTAAGAATCAATCACATTGCTGTGGGTTTGGACTCAGATGTAGGCTAGACCAGTAAAGATGGCAGTTTCTTTCCCTAAAGGACATGAGTGAACCAGATGGGTTTCTCTGACAATCCATAATAGTCATCATTGGACTCTTAACTCCAGGTTTTTATTATACTCAAATCCAGCATCTGCTGTGGCAGGATTTGAACCCGGATTTCCATACCATTAGCTGAGATTCTGGATTACATTTTTGAGAAGATTTGTAACTTGGGTTGTGGATGAGGTGTAGACTTGCTCGCCAAGCTGGTGCGTTTGACTGGAGATGTTTCGCCACCCTGTTAGGTAACAACATCAGTGCACCTCCGGTGAAGCGTTGGTGTTGTCCGGCTTGTTATTTATATGCCTTGGTTTGCTGGGGTGGTTGGCATCACTTCTGGAAAGCAATCAAACACACCAGCTTGGCGAGAAAGTCTACAACCTCATTCTGAATTAACAGCCCAGTGATAATACTGCTTCCATACTTTGAACAGTTTTATTAGATTTTTTTTTAAGTTTTTTGACACGCCAAGGAAAACATGCCAAACCTTTCAATCTATCTTCATAAACAAATAGCTCATCTCTGAAGCCACTCTCATAAACCTCTCTTACACTCTGTCACACCCTTCCTAAAGTGCAGTGCCCAGAACTGGATGCAATACTATAAAGTGTCTTAAATGAGTTCAGCATACCCTACTTGCTCTCAAACTCTATGCACCTACTAAGAAAGCGCAGGAAACCATATGCTCAATCTGTACTTTCATTTCTTATTTAGATATACACCCAGTGCCCTCTGCTCCTGCAACCTCTCCCTTTAGAGTTGTACACCTCTTTTTATGTTCTCTTTCATTATTAAGGGGAAAGACAAATAAGTGAGGTTAATCAACAGCAAGGAGGTTATGAGTTAGCTGTATATAACTTTAGTTAGGCACAGCTGGAGTCCATATACACTTCTGGTCATCACACTATAGGAAGGATGTTGGCTGGGCTGGAGTGATTCAGCTGTGAAGACAGGCTAGATAGGCTGTTTTCCTTAAAGCAGAAAAGGCTGAGTGAGTGACCTGATTAAGATATACAAAGTTCCAAGGGACACAGTAGATAGGGAGAAATGTAACCCTCTATTCAAGGGAAACAATTCGGGTCACAAATTTTAGACAAGGTGCAGGAGATTTGACAAAAATGTTTTTCATCCAGAGGTTTGTAGGTATTTGGAATTCACTGCCTGAAAGGGTGGTAGAGGCAAGAACTCAAGACATTTAAGAACTATTTTGATAGACACTTGAAATGCCAAAACTTACAAGGGTACAGGCCAAATGCTGGAAAATGGGATTACAATAGATGAACTTTTGATGACTGGTGCAGACTCAATGGGCTGAAGGGCCTCTTTCTATGCTGTAAAATTCCATAACTCTGACGCTTCCAGAAAGCTGGCATAGGCACAGTGGGCTGAATGGCCTCATTGTGTGTTTTTTTTGGTTCACTGAAAAGGAGACATACACTGCTAATAGTATAGTTACCTGTTATCGTCGTCAATGGTGATTGGTCCCGATGGCACATTTTTGACTGTTTTTTTACCACAAAATATGGAAGCAACCTTGAGTTCAGCTAAATCAAAACAAAACAAACTTAAAACCACGTTCCTGAATAATAAAAGCAATTGCGTGCAGTGAGAACATTCTGGTTGTAGAATGGCTTGCATGTAATGCATAGGTCAGATCGGAGAAAACGTTTAAAACTATTCACCTCTCAAGGACAGTTAGGAATGGACAATCATAATCTCTTTTGTGTGGTGCTCACATTCCATACATGAATAAAAATAAACCTTGTTTTATCTACCGATATCTATATCGTCACATTTGATATAAAGGATTTCCACTCACATGGGGACAGTAGAATGGGAGAGTTTTTAGCAGCAAGACATTTAGCCAAACTGCAAACAATTTGAGCGCAAGGCAGGATAGATGACAGGTTTCAGACTTATTAAAACCTTGCATTAAAAATCACAGTCAAAGAAAAAGAATAGGCCACTCAGCCCTTTCAGTTTGCTACCATTCAATAAGATCATGGCTGATCTGACTTTAACCTCAACTCTACATTCCAGAATACCCCTGACAATGTTCCATTCCCTTAGTAATCAACAGTCTATCTACCTCTGACTTAAAAATATTTAAAGATACTGCACTCACTGCCTTTTAAGGAAATTCTAAAGACACTCAAACTTCTGAAATTTTATTTTACCTTGTTCTTACGTGGGTTTAACGATGACTGCTAGTCCTAGATTCTCCCACAAGAGGAAACCCCTCTCCACTTCTACAGGGGCAAGCATCCTATGGATCTTATGCTTCAGTTAAGTTACCCACGAATCTTCTAGCGTTCTAGCCTTTCCCATGAGGCAATTCCCTCATTTCACTTATTTGTCTTCCAACCCTTCTCTGAATTGCTTCCAACACACTAACATCCTTCTGTAAGTGCCGTGAACAGCACTTTATGTAGTATTCCAGATGCAGTCTCACCAATATTCTTTATAACTGATGCATAATCTTCCTACTCTTGCATTCAATTCCCTTCCCAGTAAACCATAACTTTCTATTAGCTTTCCTGATTGTTTGCCCTACCTGCACACTAACCTTCTGTGATTCATTCATGAGACTTCCAGATCCTTCTGCATCTCAGAGCTCTGCAATCTCTCACCACTTAGATAGTATGCTTATTTTTTATTCTTTCTGCCAATGTGGATAATTTTGCACTTTGCAACAGTATACACCATTTGCCAGATTTTTGCCCACTCACTTAACCTATCCATATCCCTTTCTAAGAGGTCCATAGGCTACTCTCTCAAAGAGAGATGACTGGTGTAGAGTTTAACCTGAGGTTCACCACACCTCAAGTGGCAGGCGAGCTTCAGGTGGGACCTTCATAGTAACCTCAGCTGGTACAGAAATTGAACCTGTACTCTTGGCGTCACAACATTGCAAACCAGCTATCCAGCCAACTGAGCTCCAATCCCTTTGTAGGCTCTGTCTGCCTTCTTCATAACTCAATTTCCTATCTTTGTGTCATCAGCAAATTTAGCTACCATATCATCAGTCCCTTCATCTAAATCACTCATGATGTCCTGCCAACCTGAAAAAGGCCCATTTATTCTGTCTGCTTCTTGTTAGCCAGCTACTCTTCAATGCATGCCAATATTTTACCCCCAACACCATGAGCTTTAATTTTCCGCAATAACCTTGATTTGGCACCTTTTCAAGTAGTTTCTGGAAACAATACATCCACTGGTTCCCTTTGCTTCAACAGCACAAGTTACTTCTTCAAAAAATTCCAATAAACTTATTAAATATGATTTCCCTTTGACAAAACCATATCAGCTCTGCCTGACTGACTTGAACTCATCCAAGCTGCCTGTTATAATGTCTTTCATAATAGCTTCTAATATTTTTCCTCTGATTGATGTTAAGCTAACAGGCCTGTAGTTTCCTGGATTATTCCTCCCTCTCTTTTTTTGAATAAAGAAGTTCAATTAGCTATTTTCCAATCTAAAGGAAACTTCCCTGAATCTAATGGGTTTGGAAAAGTCAAACCAACTCATCAGTTATCTCACTAGCTTTTTCTTTTAAGACCCTAGGATGAAATCCACCAGGTTCTGGGGACACGTCGATTCGCAATACTTGCACTGATTTCTGAATAGTTAATTAAAGACTAATTCAATCTTTTGGCATTGTTGCATTTTAAATAAACATGGCTAGTTAGCTTCAAAGCTTTAAAACAAAATACTGTAGAATCAAGTTCACAAAGAAGAATAAAGAACATTCTTAGTTTTTAATGTTAATAAAACATTGGGTTTTTTTTCAAAAAAAGGTCAAGCAGTGCTCAGTCTATGTCACCAGTAAATAAGAAACAATGGCTTAAGAGCATGCTACAAGAATACAACATACTTGAAACCTCTAGATAACGTCACAAAGGACTGCACAGGGTCAGGTTTTCTATTATCATTCTAAAGACTAACCAAATTGAATTCCAACACAACATACCCTATTAACAAACTCAACACAATGAAGTCTCTTCATTATGAAGTCTGTTTATTTTTAGTAAAGTGTGCTAATTTCTTAAATGCAAACAACTTTGGATTCTCACATACTTTGGTCACTTCCAAAACTATTCTACTTCTCTCCTGGCTGGTTTTCCATCCACTTCAGCTCTTTCAAAACTCTACTGCCTATACTTGATTTCCACTGCGTTCATTAATCATTAACTGAACTGTATTTACTCCTGGACTTCCAGAGTCATGGTATCACTTTTCTCCATTTTTAACCTCCAATAGCTTTCCAAAATTACACCCTCTGCTCCTCTGACCTTGGCATGTTACATGACCTCCACATCCCTTCACTCCACCAGAAGTAGCAATGCCTTCAATCATTTATACTCCACCTTCCTAAAATTAAGTAAAATTTACATAACAGAAACAGGCTGTTCAACCAAACAGGTCTATCACTGCGCTTATGCTTCAAACAAGCCTCCTCCTATACTACTTTACTCAAAGTTAACAGCAAATCTTGCAATTCCTTTCTTGCTCATATTTATATAAATCCCCCTTAAATGCATAGAAACACAAGTAAATAATTTAGACCATTAGGTATGTTTTTGCCATTCAATGAGATCATGTGACTTAGAGAAAACACTTGCCCCCAAATCCTACCAGACCACAGGGCTGCCCTTTCATTAGACATAGACAACAAATGGCAATTTAACCAGATGGGCATCATGCGTCAGGAGGGAGGAGAAGTTAAGAAGGAGAACGCTTCATGGTAACCTTAGTCCAATTGGACCCAACTGTGGCATCGCTCTGTATTGCAAACCAGCCATCCAGCCAAAGGAGCTAACTGAGCCCCTGGCCTCGGCAGCTTAGGAATATGAGAAATGACTTTTATAAAATGACTTTGAAAATAAAACAGAAAATCTACAGATTGGGAACCATCAGGATTAAAGAATAAAATAATGGAAAATTTGTGTTACAGCGTACTAACCTACAGTCCTCTTGGTTGTTGATATGCCACCTGGATTCTTTCCCAAAAGATCACTTAAATTCCTCAATTTCTTGGATTTCTTTCCGTGTTCAATTGTACTGACAGAGTCACTGTCTGCACTTGTATTCCAATTAGTTGCCAAATTCTGTACAAAACAATTGCAAGAAATTTAGAAAGTGGCAATCAGGCTGTAGTGGTGAATGAGACACAGACCATCAGAAGTAAGATCACTATTTCAGTTATCATAGGCAAAACCAGAATTCTACTAAAAGGCTTCAACCAACGGTACCAAAAATAAAACTCTGTGCTTTGGCAGCAATCAGGAGTCTCTGTAAAATAGTACAACTAGTCGGTTAAAAATAAAACAAAACATTCAGAACAGGAGTGATGAAAATAGACTCTAAATGCAATGATTCGCCTTGGAACAAAGCGCCATACAACCATTTATATATTATCCCTCCTCTCTTAAAGCACTCTGACTGGGAAGATGGCCGAGTTGCAATAACCTGGAAACATTTGTAATGAATGACAGTATTCTCCATTAATCTGATTTGCTGTTTGTGGAACCATGTTTACTTGCAAAACAGCAATTGCTCTTGGAAGTAATTCACAAATTTACACGTGCAAGTTACTTCCATTTCTCTGTGGGCGGCTGGTTTATCTTCCAACTTCAACGTAATTCCTATTGTCAAGTTAAAATTGAGAGATATCTCAGTAGAGTAAATATAGGGAGACAGATTCCTCTAAAGAAGTGTTAAGTCAAGACCTACCCTGAGGAGGAAGGCACTCAGCAGGGACAAGGCCATTCCCGACAGAAAGTCACCATAAACCACTCCTGCACATCTCATTTTGACCAGCATTAATGATGGCTGGGAGCAGGACCCCAAGACCATCCTATTGGATAAAAACAAATACCACATGGTGTGTTTTTTTTTGGGTGGTGGATATCAAAATGCCAAAACATAACTTTGGCATACCGACAGCTGGCTAACTGCAACGTTAGTTATTGTTGAAAAGTACCTTTCCAAAGGAAAAGATAAATTTAGGTGATTTAGAATAGTTGCATTTTGCAAAATTAAACCAGATAAAAGCCCTGAGCACATCAGTTTGCCCAGTTAGAATGTTAATGAAGTAGCATTACACAGATATCCAGCACAGAAATTGAAACATCAGCTTAACCTGTCCCTGTGCTAGTGTTTATTCATGAATCTCCTCTCAGTCCTCACTAGCATCACTCATCAAAGGATTGATTATTCTTACCTGATCCGTTTATTCAGCTCCTCCCTAAATTTATTTCTGCTGTTGGCCCCACTTATTCCACTTGGCTTCAGCACTATATTTTCGCTGGTCTCTGGGTAATGAAGCTTCTCCTAAATCCTCTACTGGACTTATTATTGACCATCTTATATATATAGTCTCTAACTTTGTTCTCTTACCAGTGAATACATCAAGGGCCAAAGTAGATTGACAGATGAAGAATTCAATAGTTCACAAATACTTAACTCCCAAAAGACCCCTTCAATCAGGAATAATCACATTTTGCATTAGATTGTAACATTTCAAATGGCATTCAGAAATATTTATCCATACACTGACAGCCTTTTGTGAACCCTCTCCCAACGTCAAACCAGATGGTCAAATTCCAAACAAAAAAGTTACCTATTTGGGATAGTTTATCCTTATGTATTTGATTTTATGATTTCTCAAACTAAGACAGAATACCAAATTACACTGCCTGCTTTTGAAATGTTATTTTAGTTTCTTTCATGAAAAACTTGAAACGCTAATACCTCAGCCCCATGATATTTCTCATCAGATTTGGCCTGCTGTCGGGTTGATCGTCTCAGTGGTGTAACAGATTCAGCGGGACTTTGGCACTTGCTCCGTGCTTTCGCTTTTTCAACCAACTTCTTTGCTTTAACCATGTGCTTGGATCGGCACATCCGCTAAATAATAGAATCATACCATTATGTAAATGAAAGAATAAAGATCTTGCACTGGTGTCACAACTTCTACAGCTGTGTGACAGCCTAAAGCACTTCAAAACTTCTTAAAGTGCTGACACAGTTAGAAATATAGGAAACCTGGATGCTAATTTGCAATATTGGCCAGTTAACTGGGAAAATACCCAACTCCTTAACAGTGATGTAATCTGTTCCATTTACCCAAGATGGCCAATGTGAGTTTTACTATAACACCTCATACAAAACTAAGCACTTCTGACAACAAAGAGATGCAACAGCATAGTGGTATTATCACCAGACTGTTAATCCGGAGACCCAGGTAATGGGGGCCTGGGTTTGAATCCTGGCATAATTTGAATTCAAAAATTTTTTTTAAGAGTCTAATGATGACCATTGTCAACTGTTGGAAAAATTCATCTGGCTCATTAACGTCCTATAGGAAAGGAAGCTGCCATTCTTACCTGGTTTGGCCTACACGTGATTCCAGATCCACAGCAATGTGGTGTACTCTTAAATACTCTCTGGGTTGGGGAAACAACCCCAGCCACCGACACTCACATTCCATGAATGAATAAAAACAACATCTCCCAATAGTGTATTGAAGTGTCAGCCCAGATTAGGTGTTTTGAGCTCCTAAGTGGAACATGAACCTATATTCATCTGGCTCAAAAGTGAGAACGCTGAGCCACAGATCAGTGGCTTACACCTGTATGAATTACAGCTACATGATTGCCACAAATACAAAAAGCCACGCAGAGATATTCCTGATCTGGTAGAATCAGTTTCATAACAATATGTAAAACTTTAATCAGATGGCCCCAAATCAATGAATAAACAAACAAACAGTCTCAAAATCAAGACATAGAACAGTTATGGCACAAAAGTCGATTAAACCCATCATGTTTGCACTGGGATTCTGCAAGTGCAAATCATGTAGTCCCATTCCCTGCCAACTTTTCCCTTTGGCCTTAAATTGTTTTCGCTTCAAATAATTATCTAGACCTCCGGTGAATCTACCCCAGACTCTAAAATGGATGATTCTACATCCTAATCATGTATTGTATCAAGGGTTTTCTCTCATGTCACTATTGTTTCTTTTCTCAATCACCTTAAAATAGCATCTTCTAGTTCACAATCCTGTTACTTCTGGTAGTAGCTTCTCCCTCTCTGTCCAAACCACTCATGATTTTGAATACCTCTCACCTTCTTGCAGGATAACAGTTCTAGTTTATCAATCGATCCTCATAGAACATAGAACATAACAGCGCAGTACAGGCCCTTCTGCCCTCGATGTTGTGCCAACCTGTGAAACCAATCTGAAGCCCATCTAACCTAAACTATTCCATTA